GTGTACTAAACATAATACCCCTCAATTCACTTCCCCCTCCCTCCTCACCCACCCTCCCACATCCCTCCCCTTTGGTAACCGCTAGTCCCTTCTTGGAGTCTGTGAGTCTGCTGCTGTTTTGTTCCTTCAGTTTTGCTTCATTGTTATACTCCACAAATGATGGAAATCATTTGGTACTTGTCTTTCTCTGCCTGACTTATTTCACTGAACATAATACCCTCCAGCTCCATCCATGTTGTTGCAAATGGTAGGATTTGTTTTCTTCTTATGGCTGAATAGTATTCCATTGTGTATATGTACCACTGCTTCTTTATTGATTCATCTACTGATGGACACTTAGGTTGCTTCCATATCTTGGCTATTGTAAAAAGTGCTGCAATAAACATAGGGGTGCATATGTCTTTTTGAATCTGAGAACTTGTTTTCTTTGGGTAAATTCCTAGGAATGGAATTTCTGGGTCAAATGGTATTTCTATTTTTAGTTTTTTGAGGAACCTCTGAATTGCTTTCCACAATGGTTGAGCTAGCTTACATTCCCACCAGCAGTGTAGGAGGGTTCCCCTTTCTCACATCCTCTCCAGCATTTGTAGTTTCTAGTCTTTTCTATGTTGGCCATCCTAACTGGTGTGAGGTGACATCTCATTGTGGTTTTAATTTGCATTCCCCTGATAATTAGTGATGTGGAGCATCTTTTCATGTGCCTGTTGGCCATCTGAATTTCTTCTTTGGAGATTTGTCTGCTCATATCCTCCACCCATTTTTTAATGGGGTTATTTGCTTTTTGGGTGTTGAGAGCCTCGAGACTTCTTGTGATGTTCTGGAACAATTCACGTCAGCACCATATTCACACAGAATGACTGATGCTCGTGTCAAAATTTGGCCTCTAAAAGATGCTCTGAAATCCCTGCCCTGACTATGCCCAAAGGAAAAAGCTACTGAACTGAGAGAGACCACACATAGGACCTTGTGGCCACCTGGTATAGGGAGTTTATTTTTTATTCATAAGCTATATATAGATGTGTGCTTCTATTGAGAATGTTATAATATGAAAACTTAGAAAGCAGAGGAGATAAATCCTGAACATAACTGGATGAGCCTGGTTGCAGCGGTTGCAGTGAGGTTCCGAGTTCAAATCCTGATGCCGTCCCTTCCCTGACTCTGATTCCTTTGGTGAATAATTTGTTCTCACTGGGCCTCAGTTTCTTCATCTAAAGTGTTTGTTCCTGTTCCCTGAGGGTTGCTGGGGAAATTCAATGAGATTGTGTGTGCAAAGGGCCCAGGAGCAGATGAGCTGCACTAACCAATTTCTAGAGAGGAGGGGGCCCACCTCAGGTGGAAGGTTTCTCTGTGGAGGGGATGGTTGAGTTGGACCTTGAAGGATAAAGAAATATTCAGTAGGTGGAGAAGGACGGGAAAGGTATTCCTGGCAGAGGGAACCGAATGCTTAAGGCTGGGAGGCATGCTGGGGCAGGATATTTGGGAAAAGGCAAGCAGTTCGGGTATTATTTGAAAGCAGAGTGGATGTGTGTTGGGAAAACGGGGAGAGGCAAAAGATGGGGTTGAAGAAGATAGCAGCATTCAGCCCACTGAGGGTCTCATAGGCCGGGAGACTGGAGCACGAAGGAGCCACAGCAGGCTCTGAGCAGGGCAAAGACTGACAGGGGCAGGTTTACGGTTTAACAAGATCCTTCTGGACAGAGGGGGCAGGACTGGACAGGAGAGCAGGGAGCACGGCAGGATGAAGTGGGCTTGGGGATCGGGGATCGGGTATGGAGCGGGGAGAGGGAAATCATATGACATCTTTCTAAAGCTACAATGGAGAGGAATGAGAAGACATGGGAAATAAGAGGAGGAAGGCATCCAAGATAAGACACAGGCCTCTGGTCCAGGAAACAGGCTCAGTGTGGGATGATGCCTGAGCTGGGGACCAGGGAGGAGGACGCACAGGAAAGAAGCTGTTGAGGTCAGGTGAAATCCTGTGGGATATCCAGGAGGAGGCATCCTAGAGTTGCTAGACACTTGGGTCTAGAGTGCAGAAGAGATGGTGGGCTGAGACGGGGATCCTCAGAGCTCGGACAGGGCTGAAATCCTGATGGTGGAAGGTGGAATGTACAGCAAGGTAAATTTGCCTTCAGCCACTGTTGACTATGGACAATGCCCAGGAAAGCAGCCTTGGTCCCCAGGTTCTTAACCCAGTTGATGCGTGGGGACATGGAGATAAGCAGACCCAGAGCCCCCACAGGAGTGCCTGCTCAGTGGGGGAGCCCAGATGCACACAGCAGACTGTGCTTCCACCCCGCCAGGGCAGTGTGTGATGAAGGGGGGCTTCAGGAGATACACTGATCCATTCATTCCCAAAGACTAGGGACATAGCGGCAGTGGAAAGTGTTCGAACCAGTTTGTGGGAGGGGGGCGGTCTTGGAGAGAGAAAGTGAATTAATCAGGAATTTCTCAGCTTCAGATGCAAACTGGTTTAGGGAAATGTCTAAAAAGGGTTAAGGGGCTTCTACTGGCTTCAGTCACAGCTTGATCCAGGACCTCAAATTAATATGAAGTCACTATCCAATCTCTGGATTCCATGTATCTCTGATGTTTTCCTTGTGGTAGCAAACCTGGCCCCAGCAGCTCTGGGCTCACCTCCCACCTTCTCAGTGACCCCAGAAGGAAGAAAGGTCTCCTACCAAATGGTTCCATCCCTCACAGGTGGGGCTGAGTCATATGCCCACCCCTGAGCCAATCACTATCATCAGAGGGCAGAAGAGCTGGAATGCTCTGAATAGCTGGGCCTGGGTCATGTTCCCTTCCTGGGAAAGGGAGATTGGGGTGAGCCCCAAGACAAACAGATGAACTGAAATTTAGAAAGGATAGTTTCCCAAAGAACAAGCAGAAGACCAGCAAAGCTGTAGATGCCCATTGGCGGGGACGAAAGGGAAGTGGGGAAACAGGTCTCCTCATCTGTTAATTGGGCATGGGAATAGTACCTCACCGCCTCGGTGAAGAGTGAGGATTCGGTGAAATAATGCAGGTGAGCATTTGGCAGACTACTTGGCAAAGACTAGGTGCTGGATAAATGGTAACTATTATTTTTTAAATAGTAATGAATATTACTACCACCGATGATGAATGACATCTATATTCCGGGAGGTAATGAGCTCCCAGGCACAGGATGAGATCAACCTGAAGCTGAACAATCACACAGCGGAAGCTTATGCAATCTGTATCCGGCAAGCTCAGTTCCCAGCTGGCTCCTTTTCAGGGGTTCTGTCTCCAGATCTATGAAATGGGATGAGAGGATTGAATGAAACCAGAAATTCGTTTCAGATGCCCCTTCTCATCGTTCAAGTTGCCGTTAAGTGTCACCTCCTCAAAGAAAGGCCTTTCCTGACTACTCTTACCAAAATATCCCCCTTTATTTAAATATATCATCCCATTTTACATTCTTTACAGTGCTTAACACAATATGGAATCATCTTATTTATTTACTGTCTGTCTCCCTCATTAGATCATCAGCCCCACGAGGGCAGGGATCTCTGTCATGTTCACTGCTGTGTGCTGATCACAGTGGCTGGCACACAGCCGAGCCTTGATAAGTATCTGTTGAATTTCTAGATACCTATTACTAAAAAAAAATACAGTGCCTAGTAGTCTCACAGGCAGTGAGTTCTCCATCAAGAGAGGTGTCCAAGATGAAGCTGAACGATCGCACCTTGCAATTCATACTGCTAGGCCCCAAATAGTTCCTCTCCCAGCCTCAGTTTCCTCATTTATAAAATGGGACTGTGGCGAGAGGGACTCCTGGCGTCTGCTATCCCCGCGGGGTCCGCCAGGAGGCGCAGCGCCTCTGCCCAAAAGTCCGCCATCAGCCGCTCGAGCCCTGGTGAACGCGTCCCGACGTTCCTGGAATATTCTGAGCGCCGCTGGCCTCCAGGCGCTCAGGAGCCCGAGAGGCTCGAGCGGATGCGAAGTGTCCCGGCCGACGCTACGCGCTCGGCGCCGCGCAGGAGGCGGAGGGAGGGCGGTGACTCAGGCGCGCGCCCCCGGCCCCCAGTTCTTGCGAGGGGCCGCGCACGGCTCGGGAACCCGCGCGGCGCCGAGTCCATTTTTACCCGAGCGCGGCTAAAAATAGTAGCCGCACTGGGAGCCGAGCCTGAAATAGCGGTCCCCAGATAAGGCAGGACGACTCAGCGCTTCCGGGGAGCGGAAGAGGGGGGCAGCGGGGGCCGGGAGGGGGGTGCTGGGCTCCGCTGGGCCTCGCCGCGCAGCCCCGGCCGGCCGGCCGGGCGGACGCCGCCGGCCCTACCCGCACCCCCGCGGCCTGGCGTCCGCCCTGCCCCCAACCAGACCTCAACCCGCATCCCGCAACCTGTCACCAGCCTCGCTTCATCCCTCTGCTTTCCCCGCTACCCACCACCTTCCCCATCTCCTGTCTCCCACCGCAGCATCAGCTTCCCCTCCATGCCTCATTCCAGACCATTAACCCTCTCCCCTTTCCCCACTCTAATCTTTGTTCCCTGCCTCCCCAGCTGTGTGTGAACTGGTCTTCATCCCCACCCCGAAGCCCTTTCCCTATTCCCGCTACACATAGCCCCAACGTCTTGCCTGTCCGGATCTGTCCCCCACCCCTATATCCCCCATCGCAATCCCATCCCAGTGCTCAGCCCAACCTCTGGTTGCGGTTAGCATGGAGAGGTCACAGAAAGACAGGCAGAGGGCTGGGGGCAGGGGGCGAGACTTCGTGGTTTGTTTCTACAGTGCACGGGGTGCGCTGAGGTCTGGATGTGGGTTTGGGCCCGTTTCCTCAGTCCTGTGCCCAGGGTTGGGATTGGGGTTCAGGCTGAGGACAGAAGCAGATCTTCCATTACCAAGGTTGGGGGCTCTGTATCACTAGAGTCAGGGCACAGCCTGGCACCCCCTGTTTTGTTCGCCAGTCCCAATTTCACTACAGTTCTTTCCTCCCTTGCAAGTCAGTGATTAGACACGACAGGTCCAGGCAGTGGGAACAGCTGGAAACCCGCTCTCTGGGCCTAAGTGGAATGCCCCTTGGCACCTCAGATCTTCTAAGACACCTTCCCATTCTGATACCTGTGACTCGGTGCCTACTCCAAGAATCAGCCTCAAGGGTCTTACACTTTTCCATCCAACGGTTCAAGGGCAACACTGTTTACAGCTTCTAGTCTCTGAAATATCACAGCACAGAGGGACTGTCCTGTCTTGTGTGGCCCCAAGGAGCAGAGTGTAATAGACAAGACATTGTTTTAGGCAGAGCTGCCTGGCTGTGGAAGGGAGGCAGCCTAAAGTGGTGGTGAGGTCCCTTGTCTCTAGTGGACACCAAGCTTCAGCCAGGTGTCCAGTTATATTGTCCGAATGGCTGGGGGACTCAACTACCAAGCAAAGAGATTGAGCTGGAAGCATCTTTTAAAGAGAATCATGTATTTGGGATCAAGGAATTAGGTGGCTGCCAAAGTCAGCAAGGACTGGACCAAACTGAGCCCAATGGGCAGGGGTGAGGAGCCTGTACTGCTCCCCCAAGGGCACTGGGGAGCCATGGCAGGTTCTGAGCAGAGGTGGAACAGAGGCAGGTTTATGCTTTAGTAAGACCTTTCTGGCTGTCTTGTAGGGGTAGACTGAGGAAGGGAGGTGGGAGAGAAGGGGTCTGGACCTAGGAAGGAGGGAGAGGAGGAGAAGGAGGAGAGGGCCGATATGAGAGACAGTGAGGAGGCAGGAAGGCCCGCACTTGGAGGCTGAGAGACTGTGAGGGAGAGCAGCACCGGGGGTGAGGACCAGTCCCACCCAGGTGGCAGGGTAGATGATGGGGTCATCCCTGAGCTGAGGCCCCAGGGGGAGGAAGGAGCCCAGGTAAGTTTCAAAGGCATTCCAGAGATAGTAAGTTTTAAATAATTAAAAAAATATTTTTAATTTTTAGAAAATGTATTGACGAATACAAAGGCTATACCTTGAAAAAGTACTTTTCCCCCCTCCCTCTAATGTCAACTTCTCACTGTTGTCTATCTCTTGGGTATCTTTGCCAGTAGGATTCATTGAGCCCTCACAATGTCCCCAACCTGTGCTAAACCTATCCCAGAAGTGACCTCACCCAAATCATTCACCACCCAGTGTGTGGGCCGGACGCCATTGCTATGCCCATTTTAGAGAGGTGAGAACTGAGGCTTGGAGAAATGCAGGAATGGCTTTGAAAGATTTTCAAAATTGAGACATGGGGGAAGCAGGTGAGATCAGAGAGGGAAGGTCCAAAAGGCCAGAGGCCGGAGCCCTTGGGAACTGGAGGGGGCCAGCCAGCAGTTCAAGGAAGGCTGTCTGGAGGAGGAGTGAGGGTAGCCAGGAAGGTGCCTTCCAGAGCCTTCTGATGAAGGGTTTGGATGTAAGTAAGTCACTCCCTCTTGGGGAGCTGGGGGTGTGGGGTGGTCTAAGGTACCTCTGGCAGCAGGGCAGCCAATGAGGAGGGGTTCTTCTCAGGCCTGCAGGACCCCAGAGGTTTATAGGAGGAGACTGATGCTGCCTGACGACATTTCAGGGACACAGTGATAGCACAGCGGGCTGTTATGACGTCTGAGTGATTCGCCAACTGCCTGTTACGACCAGCATCTCTAGTCATGCCCCGTGGGGGGGGGATGTGGATAGGAGGAAGTGACAGGCCATGGGTGGGGGTGGAGGCAAAAGGGATGCAGTCATGCAAAGACCAGAGACTCAGGCGCTGAGAGAGGTGTTCTGTCCCCTGCACTGTGCAAGGGTTTTCCAGAGCATCCATCTTTTGGGTCTGTGCCTAGTGGCTGGGATGGATTCCTACTGGGCTCAGAATCAGGTGTTAGCCCAGCGTCTGCTGAGACCAGGGACTAATGTTTTGTTCACTGCTGTGTCCCCATCATGTAGGATGGTAACTGGCACACAGTAGGGGTTCAATACATCTTTATTGAATGAATGAATCAAATGAAAAGGGACTCAGCACTCTGTGGGACTCAGTTTACCCTCTTGCCTAACAGCATGGTCAGGCCTCCTCAGCCAATGGTGTGACTAGGGATATTCCTCCCCAGGCGGAATCTCAGATCCCAGACCTGGCTTCTCCTGTGGGGTCAGAGTGAGCAAGGAAACTAGCTAGCGCCTCTGGTGGGCTCCCTCCGCTTTTGATGTCATAGGCCTCTAGGTGATCCGGACCCTTGTCCCTCCCTTGGGATGGGGCGTGGAGAGGAGCCCGGGAGTCCTGACTCCGGCCCCTCCCCCGGGCCGGGCAGTGAGTGTTACACAACCCGACGTCGCGTCCCCAGGGATGTCGCCGGACGTCCTGGCCAGGCCAGGGACAATGGGCAGGGGGGACCCCTCCCGCCAGGATCTGGAAGTGGCTAGGGCGCCCCCTCCTCTGATTCACCTCTGTTTCCAGCCCGTTTCAACCTCCAACTTCTCAGGGATCCCTATCTCCCCCAAACTCTCTACCCTCATTTCTCGTATCCCCTATAATTCAGCTCTTCCCGCGACCCTGCAAATATCTGTTCTCTACACCCTGCCTTTCCAAAACACTCTGCTCTCACATCCGACACTGGTGATTCCCGAAAACCCTGAACTTCCTTCCAGTTTCCCTGCCTGCCTTCACTCACCCATCCCGGGCCCCTCTTCCGGCTCCCACAAACAACGCCCCACCTGCGAACCCCCGCCCTCTTGATCTCCTCCCTTGGCTCCTCCAAGATCTCCAAGCCCCTCTCCACTTCCCTCAAACTAACCCTAATACTCTTTCTCAATACCTATTCCCAGCCCCCCAAGTCTCCTCTTGTCTCCCCAAACTGCCCCAATGTCCCTACCTCATCCCCCACAACGCGCCCGCCCCAGGGCCCGGGCTGGCCGCGCCCCTCCCTCGCCCGCTCCCACGCCCGGCGCGCGTTCCCAGGCCGCCCTCCCGCGGTGGCCCAGAGACCCAGTTTGCGGCGGCAAAACATTGGTCTCCGGGCAACAGGCCCCGCCCGCCCCAGGGCCGCCCAGTGCGAGCTCAGCCGCCGGGGCAGGGCGGTCCCGAGGCAGCCGGGCAGAGACAGAGCGCGGAGGCGGGGCGGGTGCCCCGAACCCGGGGTCCTCACCCCCGAGGTCTGCGGGGCGCGGAGACCCGGAGACTGAGAGATAGAGACTCGGTCATCTTCAGGGACACGGAGTAAGAAACTCAGACAAAGTCGTGGCGGCTGAAACCACAGACAGCTGTCTAGATCGCAGTGGTGAAAGAGATCACGCGATAAAGCGAGCAAAGAAAAGACAGGGGCCCGAAATAAACACAG